AAAAATGTGAAATGCGAACCCACAAAAGACCCCAAACACAATAGACTAAGCAATAGTAGGCACTGATGCTTAGTTGTTCAACTGTTCGGTTATGAGACATTTGAATGGTCTCAACGACGATCGCGTGTGTATCCCTGTCAGCACCGATCTCAGGCATGGAGGCCACGCCCCCACCATCACCGTTATTCCAGTTCGTGGAACGCCCAATCTTTGCATCGCTACCTACTGATTGTGCCTAAGTATATCAACTGGCGTGTCGCCTTTCCATCGGAGCACCAAACACAGCACAACACAACAAGAACTGAGTAGCAAGTCAGATGCCCCCGTAATTCGCAATCGTAAAAGACAACTTTTGTTGCGTAGACGTCTACCCGGCAATACTTCAGCGTCGACAAAAGACGTGGGCAAATGTAGCCGAAAAACGCCTTACGGAATAAAATCAAATATTCTGACTCGGTTTGGCTTGACTACACTACCTCCAATAGCAACAAACCTAAATAATCATGTAAAACAAATCCCTACCGCGTCAGTGGTGACGTAACGTCGAGGCTCCTGACCATCGCCAGGTGATCTCCTCTCAGGGATAACTTTTGACCTGGGGTCCTACACAAAGCACAACACAGAATATTTTACTGGATTTCACAAAATTCTAGCAACAAATATGAAACAGAAGGGCATTGGTAGAAAGCTAAACCATTTGAGACGATCCAGTTCTCGCCTGTAGTCTTTCGGCCCCTTTCGATGCTAACAACAGAATCTCCTACTCACTGCAGTGGCATATGGCGTCTCTCGATGTCATTTTGGGAGCACCATCAGTAGCAGTGTCAAGGGAAGTTGAATCCAGTTATCAGCTATCCCATTTGTTTCCATAGGAGGGAAACTACTGAGATTAACCAAATATGTGGTCACAGGCAACAGAAGAAGCAATCACAACAAAGCTTTCAACAAGTGGAATGGTACCAAACTTCCATGAGCTAGAAAAAGGAACCATGGAGCTGTCAAGGTGTATATTTGACGATACTTAACCTACATGAAAGACTGGTATTTACTCAATGCTTTGCAGCGGCTTAATGAACCAAGATAGGTCACTGGGTAACATAAAAAATAAGGCGCCATGGATATGATCCACGGATTCAACCTTCCTGCAGGTCG